GCATATGACAATTTGCACATACTCGAAGTCACACTTGAAAGCACAAGTAGAGTTAAAAGAGTCTAAATATAATCTTTTAGTGCATAGTTTTGAGTTATTTCGAATTAAACCAAGCGAAATTATTTGAGACATGTATACCCATATTACGGATGTCGTCAATGGTTTAAAAGTACTTGGCAAAAGTTTCTTTAATATTGAACTTATTATATTACGGATGTCGTCAATGGTTTAAAAGTACTTGGCAAAAGTTTCTTTAATATTGAACTTATCAATAAAATTCTAAGATCTCTTCCAAAAAGTTGGGATCCAAAAGTGACTGTAATCCAAGAAACAAAGGACTTGAATAACTTTCCTCTTGAAGAACTTATACGGTTATTAATGACATATGAAATGACTTGTATGGTACATGATGAACTTTAGAACAACCTTCCAAAGAACAGGAAGGATATAGTACTTAGAACTAAAAATGACCACCCGAGTGAAAGCTCAAGTGATGTTGAGGACTTGACACTCCTAACAAGAAAATTTTAAAAAATTATAAGAAGAAATAAAATAAATCTTGTAAAACAAGATACCAAGAACAAAAGTGAACTCAAATAGGACACAATCATCTACTATAAATGTAAGAAGCTGGGGCACTTCAAAAGTGAATATCCTCAACTAAAGAAGAAGAAGCTGTTAGGATCGTGAATGACACTAAGATGGGGGTTGAATTAGTGCTATCGCAAAAATTAAGTCGATTCAAAACTTTCGGCTTGATAAAAATGTATCGAAAAAGATATTGAAAGTGTGCTTGACTTAGAATAAGAGTGATAAGCAATTAAGGTAGAAAACAATAGTAATGAAGAGCAATAAGAAAGTGCACACTAATTTTATAGTGGTTCGATCGTTGTGACCTATGTCCACTCTCAATTCCTCCTCTGTTGAGGACACCAACATCCATTATCAATCTTCCTTCAATAGGCAAAAACTAACCACCCTCTTATAACACTTTATCCTTTTTATAGGTTTAGGAGATAACCTTTTACAAGCCTCACACCTCTCTTAGATTGATCACAAAGCTAAAGAACGAGGAGGAGGACACTTAGCACTTTTTCAATAATTTTATAATCAAAATCTCAAGACTTTTGTTCACACTTTTTGTACTCTTTCATGTAGGAATAAGTGGGGTATTTATAGGCCCTAATGGCTTCAAAAATAGAGCAAAAAAGTGTCTCATCCTGGGTTTTCGGGGTACTAATGGTACCACCACCAGTACTAGGTGGTACCACCGCCTGCAGACTAATACTAGGTGGTATAATTGCTTGATAGAGCCTCGAAGACCGGGCTCTGATAGTACCACTGCTTGATAGTGTGGTACCACTGCCTAACAGGGTGATAACACTGCTTGACAACATTAACTTTCGGCAATACCACCGCCTAGACCACTTGGGAGGTTGAGCCTCAAGCGGTTCCACCACCCAGTCTGGGCAGTGCCACCGCCTAACATGGCTCCAAGTGGCTAAATGAGCTATCCAACCGACCCAATTTAGCCCTATTTAGGGTCCAATTGACCCCTAATTGAGTTAGTAGGATTTCTCCTAAAACTAACTCAAATTAAAGTCCTAATTATGATAGTTAAGGCTAAAATAATTTATGATACAAGGAATCTAAGTTGTTCAACACATCAATTGTTTAACTAAACTCTCGGTGAAATTCTAGCGAACTCCCGATGATCTTTTGGTAAGCTTTTGATGAACTCCCGATGATCTTTCGATGAGCTTTCACTATATCGTTCGATCCTTCGGTGTATCACCGGATTCATTCGACCCAATGCTCGATCATTGACTTCGACCCAACATTAGATTCTTCTTTAATCGTTTTGCCTATCTCATGAGCGTAGTTAGTCTTGCATCACTTATCTCAACATATGGATTAGATCATTAATTAATCAATTGATTTTATCATCAAAATCTGAGATTCAATAATCTCTCCCTTTTTTATGATGACAACCAATTGATGACGGAGTTAACCTTAACTCTCTCTATCTATATGTCATATTGAGATAAGGCAAACTTGAATTCAAAAGGAATCATAACCCTTGAATTCAAGTGAAACAATTTCAATCAATGCAAGACATCAAAATTTCTTATATTGTGCATTATCATAGTTCCAAGTCATCAAAGTATAACATGCACAATTTCATCACTTCATAATAAATCTATTGAATCTCGGATTTTGATGATGAAATCAATTAGTAAATTATTTGATCTAATCTATATGTTGAGAAAAATATATAGGATTAACTACAATAGCAGTAAGACATAAAGCAAATATTATACTAGAGTCAAGATCGAGATTATGGGAGTTCGAGAGTTTGTCAGGAAGTCCGGACATTCGTCGGAAGTTCTGCCAGAACCATTCGAGAAGTCCAAGAGCTTGCCAAAGAAGCTCGTCGGAACTTGCCAAGAAGATCGTCGTGAAGTCCAGGAGCTTGTCGAAAGTCCACCGAAACATTACCAAGAGATCATCGGAAGTTTGCCGAAAGATCGTCAGAAGCTCGCTAGAAGAACAATTGACATACCAGAACTATAATGCTCTGGTAAATGTCTTAATTATCATAGTTAGACTATAGATTGAGTTAGGACTAGGAGGTGATCCCACTAACTTAGTTAGGGGCCAACTGAGCCCTTAACAGGGTTGAATTTGGCTGGATTGAATAGCCCATTCAGCACCTGAAATCACGGTCGATGGTGGCACCACTTGGGATAGTCTCCCAAGTACTTTGGGCGATGGTACCATTGACAGTTAATGCTGTCAGGCGGTGGTACCGCTAGAGCTCTATCTCTGAGCTCTGTCAAGCAGTCGTACAACCTAAATTAAGCGGTGGTACTACCTAGTATCAGTCTATAGGTGGTAGTACCGCCCAATAATGGTGGTGGTACCGTTAGTACCCCGAAATCCGGGGATGTGACACTTTTTAACTCCAATTCAGAAGCCATTGGGGCCTATATGTTGGAAAATCTTAGGAGCGACATCACATGTATAGAAGAAGAACAAAAACCAAAATCCCTAATTCTTAAAGATATGTTGGTCGTCGTGCGAAGATTGGTGCGCAAAAATCCGCGAAACATAAAACTGTATATAGAATAGATTGTGTTACCTAGGGAGATTGTATATCCTTGAATCTCTACAGATCTCTAGGAGAGGGTGAAGGAGGTCAAGGGCCCTCCTCTCTAGCAGTGATCCACACAGCAGGGCTGCAATGACACTCCTCAAAACTCCAGGCCTACTCTGAGGTGGAGAGGGGGAGGAGAATAGGAGAGGCAAGCAAAGGCTCTAGCCTATGAACCACAGAATCTCTCTTATTTATAGAGGTCTCCGATCAACTTAACCCTAATGGATCCTCCCCTATTGGGTATTGGATCTCCATCCAACTATCCAAGCCTCCTAGATTAGTGGATCTCTATCTGATAATCTATCAAGGGCTCTAATTGGATCTCGTCAGATCAAATTAATTACATAATATCATGTAAGATCAAATTAAAAAAATGGTCTTACGATGATATTACATGATCTCTATCTGATAACCAATAATTTCGTAATTAATTTGATCTTACATGACATTATGTAATTAATTTAATTATTGATTAAAAAAATGGTCTTACATTGAAGGTGACATAGGAAAAGTAAAACAATAAAAAGAGAGACAAATATAGAATATAAGAAGGATATTTGGTTTTGTATTTAATTATAATTAGAATTTTAAATTTTCATATAGATTTGTGCTATCTGAAAGTTCTACGAAAAAAGGTATGAGAATTATATATTTTTTATCGAATATTTGTAATAAAAAATAAGTATATATGATTTCGTCAGGTCGATTTATAAAAGTAACAACATATCTATTTTCAATCAATGTATATGCGTGCAATTTGTAGTTGTATATAGTATACACAATTATTTGTTAGTTTATAAAATATTTTATTATTTAAAAATATAAAATTATATATAATTTTGTAACCATAAATAAATAATTATTCACATTTAGCGAATGAAAATATTTTAATTTTGTAGTATTATTCGGTTTTAGTATTTATTTTAACATTACATTCGTTCAAATATAATAAAAAATCTATATTATTAGTTTTAATTGTTATATGATTTTGTTAGATTTAATATGATAATAAACAATCGTTCCAACTTTATGTTCTCTGGAATGTGAGCTTCTAAGATAACATATAAAACATATCAAATTAGACATCAATTCAATCCACTATTCCATTTGTCCCTAATGGTTTAAATTTTAACCTAACGGACATTTCATACATGTCTACCGGGTTGTTGCTATTTATCTAAATTCAATCAAACCCATAACCTTATTAGCTAAATTCTCTTTTTTAATACTTTAAATGTATTTAAATTAAATTTCATCATCTGATCTCTAATTGTATATCATACAAAAATTCGAAACACAAACCAAAAACTTAATAAGTAGATTGTGGTGCTCTTCTCTTAATTCATCATTTCATATACATAAATATTTCGAACACACTGACATCATACATAGTTCATTTTCAATTTGTATATAGCATAAAAATTAAAGTCTTCGGTTATTCAACACCCCAACATCGCTCGCAAAGTTCATAAATTGTGGAATTAACACCTTCCAAAGGAAGAGGTTGTTTCCAAATGAATATAGGCCACAAATTGAATTCCGAAATGGCAAACCAGTAATCATACGTATCCTTCTCAACCACAAACATATATAAATAGCAAGTGATTGTTACCTTTGTTGTCAAAAATTGCTTAAACCATATGTACTTGTTGATTACATGGGAAGAATCCTCTTGCATGCCCTCACTATAAATGATTTCTTAATTCAAACTATTGACATGAACACACAAGCACTGATTCAGAGAACACATCGATCGAGGAGAAGACTTTTGATAATGGGATTAGAATTAAGTATTATTGTGATTGGCTTGCTATTCTTCATCTTAAGTGGTGTGAGGGTAGCCATGGCTGACGGTGTTTACAATGTGAAGGATTATGGAGCAGCAGGAGATGGCCAAACCGATAACACAAAGGTAGCTTTTCATGTTTAGTATAGGTTTTCACTACAACCAATAGTTTTTATTGTAGTTCCCATGAATTTAAAAATCTTCATGAACTTGAATTACAAAAAGTTTTAGCGGGATAGAGGAGAAACATAAGAAACTTCTTGTATTTTCATCATGACATCTCCGTACTTACGGTTGTAACAATTATGGACATGATAGGCTTTTGAAACGGCATGGAGTGCGGCATGTGCGGTACAAGGGAAGGCAACGATAGTGATCCCAGAGGGAGCATACCTGCTCGGTCCTACAATCTTCAAAGGGCCATGCAAAGGCATAATGGTGATGCAAGTGAAAGGGCAGCTACTGGCATCCACCCATCTCGAAGCTTACAATCAATATTGGCTCCATTTCCAGTACATTAATGGATTGGTTATCTCAGGTGGTGGAAGATTCAATGGACAAGGAGCTTCTGCATGGCCTTACAACCAATGCAAAAAGACAAATAATTGCAAACCCTTACCCATGGTATGGTAGCCATGTCTTCTTTGCTCTAACCATGCAGATATTAACACTACTTCGTTCTTACTTTGAATTGCACTAACAATCATTACAATGCTACCATATAGAACTTGGTGTTCAGTTTCGTCACGAATGCAACCATCAAAAGCATTTCTTCTATCGACAGCAAGTTCTTCCACATTCATGTCTTTGAATCAAGAAACATTATCTTTGATTCCATCAAGATCAGTGCTCCTCAAGATAGCCCCAACACTGATGGCATTCACATCGCCGACTCGACCAATATCGAGGTTGCCAATTCAATCATCGGCACCGGTGATGACTGCATCTCCATCGGCCCGGGCTGCACCAATTTGACCATCTTTAAGGTGTTATGCGGCCCAGGCCATGGCATTAGCGTCGGTAGTCTCGGCAAAAATGCTGGTGAGAAAGATGTAATCGGGTTGAAGGTGAGTAATTACAATCTTACTGGTACAACAAATGGATTGAGGATCAAGACATTGCAATCTTCTCCATCTAAG